ATATATATATAAAATATATATTCTGTGTATAATGCATGAAAATCAAAACTTATAGTAGCTTGTGACTCTTGAAAATAAGTATACTTGAAATTAAGTCTTCACAAACCAACAAAAAATCATAGGCAATGGGGCTGCCTAGATGAGAGGATTTAGCGGTAAATTCTCCCTTGTAATATATGCTCACAATCAGCTGTGCCTGCTGAATCGAAGGGACATTTTTCTTTACAGATAGACCCACAGGTTTGATATGTGAAAAGCAGTATTAATTTTGACAGTTTCCAAAAAGATTATGATGAAGACCTGAAGGGAAAACTTGTCATGACGGTGTTAGTTATAGTTAACTTGATGCTGAAGAAGAAGAATTGGAATGGCATCTTTGATCTCCAGGTATCTTCACCATCTTATGTCGCACACAACTGTAGCCCTACAGTTGGGGGTGGTGTCTTCCTAGTGTCTACAGCAATTGCTTAAAAATAGTTTTATTTCTTTTACCTTTATATCCTGCTTTTTTCCCATTTACCACTGTTTCCATTGATATGAAAAAAGTTGACTGGAAGAGTCTTGCTTACTGCCCTGGGTGGAGCTGCCAACACATCTTTCCTTTAGCGAAGCACTTCCATGCTTTTTGTAAGGTCAAAGTGAGGACTTCATACTGAAGTGCTTTGTGTGGGAAGAGCTGCATGGGTACCCCACAGTCCAAAGGGAAGCAAGTTTCCCAGAGTGCGACTACATGTTCCATCTTTGAGCTGCAGTGTGGGCATGTAACCTTGGTAAGCCTGCTCCACTAGCTTCTTGTGCTTGCCAGTGCCTGGTGAGGCATTGATATGAGGACCTTAGATGAGAAGGACGATGGAGTATTTTGTGCTGTTGTGGTGAAAACTTCAGGAAGATCTAGGCATGTGTGTGGGACAGAAGAAAATCTTCACAACTGTTCCTGATTGTATTTTAGCCAGATTTTAATTTTAACATACATCCTTGGCCATGCAAGCGGGATTAGTGAAGAAGGGACTGGATAGTCTGTTGTTTCTATGGCATTTTTTCCTACAAAAATTGTTGACTTTATCTTTTGGAATACTTTTTCATAGACTTTAACAAAATGGTTATGTTTTGTTTCCATAGTAGAACCAAAGAGCTAAGCCAGAACATTTGCTTCCAGTGTGAGCTTTGCTAGCTGAATGTATAGAGAGCATCTGTCTCACTTGGGGGAACTCATCATCTTAATTTCATCTTCACTTCTATCTCATCTGCTTATTTTTGTTGCAGTGCTGTTTTGTTGAATGAAGAGTGAATTCTAAACTTCAGTGGTTACCTCACCAAAATAGGAAAAAAAATGAGTACTCTTTTCATTTTTTTGTTTTTTGTTTTGTTTGTATCAAAAACTGCAACTAAATAATTGGAGGAAGGAAATACTGTAAAAACGAACAAATGAATCCCCCCTCCCATCATCTCAGTAACCGATGAATTGTCTTATTTGGAAAATTGGAATGAAATTGAAAATTTGTCATACCTTTACTGTTTGCTGTACTATTTGGAGCACTTAATTGCATGTCATAGGTTTAGCAGTTTTGCTTAGAGATATTTTTTGAGATATAACCAGCTCACATATTTTACATAGCCTCATCCACTTTATACCCATAACGGATAAAAGGCAATAATAGTTTCCTCTTAGGGTAGTGTAAGAACTTCTGACTATTCTTGATGGTTATGTATATTGCTGAGTGCTCAAAGCGGCTGCAAAAACTATGCTGTTTCTGAAATTGTAATTTAATGTGGAGGTAGACATGTTTATGATTGCCTAAATAATTATAGAAATCAAATTATAGAAATTAACACTGATAGCTGAAGATACCAGCATTCAACAAAACTAATAAAAATCACCAGGAAACAAATTGGAACAAATTGGCAGCAATTCATCCATGAAAGAAATGGATCAAGCTGTAGTTCAAATATTGCAGTGCTGTCAGTTCACACTTCATAATATTGAGTGCTACTTTTTCTCTTCCATCCTGCAATCACAGAAAGAGGAAACATACTCATTTGACTAACTTATGGCATAGAGTCTTACAAAATTTCTAAATATGATTTCAATTTAGTCATTTTAATGTATTTCTTGTTGAGGACGACATTGAGGTTTGCCCTCAATATAATTTAATATCACTAGCATAATTTAATATAATTTAGTAATTTAATATAAAAATAATATATATTTTGCATTTCTTATTAAAATTGAGGGCTACTATATTCTTTGAACACACGAAACTTCAGAAATAATTCTGCAGTGAATGATTTTCTTCTCTGATATTTATGGCAGCAAGTTCTTTCCATTTAAATGGTATGCCTGTGATTTTTACATACTTGAGAAAAATATAAGTGCTTTTGATTTATTTTGCATTTTGTTGCCCTTTGTGCTTTCAGATATTCATCTAGCTTCTCGTATCCAAGATAGAATATATAATGGGGAGAAAACTGGATCTTTCTGGCTTGACTGATGAAGAAGCAGAGCACGTGCTTCAGGTTGTTCAGCGAGATTTCAGCCTCCGTAAGAAAGAAGAAGAAAGACTGAGGTAAGATAAAAACATGATCAAAAATGCTGGCTGTCTTGGGTTGTAACAAAGTGATTACTGGGGAAACTGGAGAACATGGTTGTCTTGGCCTGCTGAGCTGACATAACTCAAATAATTAGGCTGGTGTCGGAGGCCCACCGTTTGATCTTCGATGTGTTGCTCTGTAGTTGTTAGGGATGTAACTTTTGTTAGATAAAGCACAATTAGACAGTTGTTATGGGGAAAAAATGCTTACCTGGCAGAAATAGCAGAACTAAACTTTTACAAGAGTATTAGCCCAGCAGCTTACTACACTAATCAATGAGCAACAGCTCGGAGCAGCCCACCAACCAATAAAGGTCAAACAGTCTGAAAGATGCTGTCCCACCTTGTAAACCTCATCCACCTCGGCCCAAAGCACGGTGGCATGACTCTTACCTTTGGGGATGCCTGATCATGGAGGACCTGCAGGGACACCTGGGACCAAGCTTTCCTGGCCCAAACCAATGTGCTTAACACTCTTCCACTCCTGACTACTGACAACTGCTGGTACTGTTGGCAAAGGAAGGGGAAGCAGACATAACCATGTTTCTATAATGTCATATTGTTCTTTGCATTAACTATTGCTCCTTCACACAGACCTAGTTATTGCATAGTAATTCATGCGCGTGTTTCCTCTGTCCTGACCTAAATCATAACGATGGTACCTTCAGCATCTCTGCATGTCTACTGGGGAGGCTAGGCAGTGGTTGTCTTGAACGTAGACTTTTGCTCATGTTCAGAGAATTATTTGTTCACTATAGCTAGTCATTTCCTTTTCTTTTCTTCAGAGACTGTGGCTATATGCAAACATTTGAAGGTGAAGAATTCAAAATACTCAGTT